TGTAGTTTTATAGTAATTGAATAATTCAAAAGTAACAAACTTTTTATTATGCATTATTAGATTTTTTTAAATAACCAAATAATTAATACGATTAATTGTGATTAAGTTTGATAAATTAAAAAAGAAAAAGAAAACAATTCGTTTATCTAATTTATTAATTTTATAGTTACGTAAGTAGAATTGAATTGCATCATATCGAAATCCTAATTTGGATGCATCCTATCTCTTTTTTTATACGAGGTTTAAAGAATTTTCGTTACTGTAAGTTGTTTGTTTGTTTGTTTGTTTGTTTTGTGATCATGATAATATATGCTTATTATAGTTTTTCATTCTTACTTTGACTACAGTCTTTTGACGAAAACTCAAACGATACGTTTCCGGGATGAAGTTTACCAAGAGACCACGAATATTCAGAACGTGCAAACATGGACTTTGAACTGAGGGTAATGAAGCTTGCTTTACGAAAAGATCCCACGACTAAACTTTGCTCCATTTACTGTAATACCAACCCCCCACCCCCGCTTTTTCCCTTTTCTTTTTTTCCTTTCTATATCCCGCGTTTTGCAAAAGGTGTAGGTTTCTTTTTTCTAAATAATTATGATCTAGGGAAAAATAATCTGACAATCTGATTGACGTTGATATTCGAGAGACCAGTCGTTAAAAAAAAAAAATAACAAAAAAAGCACCTCTAAATGAATAATAATAAATTAATTTAATTATTTATATAAAATTTCTACAGATTTTGATTTTGTTAAAAGAAGAAAAAAAAATTATTTTATCGATATCTTTACACGCATTTATTATTTTTCATTTACTTAAATAAAAATTGAACGAGAGAAGGAGAAGTATTGTTGAACCTTTGAAAAAGGGCCATTTAAAAGTGCTTACAGGGCATTAGTCGAGTGATACCACGAAAGAACATGGATGAGACATCAAGCTCTTTACAATTCTTTTTCTTTTCTTTTCTATCCCCTTTTTTATTTTTTTTAAACCCTTATCTCCCTCATGTAAATAAAACGATGCCAATGCCAAAAGTTTTGCTTTCAAGTATTTTACTAGAGGATTATTCGAGTTATCCTAACAATATTTTTCTTTACTCGTAATTCTGAGATAAACAAATTTATTCTCAATGCTGAAAATTTGTATTATATATTTTTTGTTCTTCTTACTAAATTTATATTAATTTATTAATTTATAAAAGTGTAGAATCCTATAATCAATTGATTAATATATTAATTAAGTGGCAAGTTGTGCATTTGATTGACAATGGTATGCTAAAAACGAGATAAAAAATGTGTTTAAAAGTATATCACAACGTGTAACAAAAAATAAATTAAAAAAAATTATATTATATTATAATTAATATGATAAAA